CTCTCTCTCTTTCTCTCTCTCTCTCTCTCTCTCTCTCTCTCTCTCTTTCTTTCTTTCTTTTTTTCTTTCTAAAAAAGCACAGAGAGAATGCAGGAGGTGCAGCTCTGGAACTGGGCTGTGGCAACTGGTGCAAAATAAGTGCTTCAGCTGTGAGGTTTGCTACAATCTGTAAAAATCATACCTTTTAATTAATTTTGTGTGGAAGGCCAGGGGCTGAGACGTAATTTAGAAAAAACGGAACTACTGATTCAGGTGAACTGGGTGGACCGAACTGGCTAGATAACCCGCAGCCTGACAGCGAGCAGCAGTGACTGTGTTCCATTGGGGAGTGGGGGTGTTTGGCTTTACCTGTCACACTAAGCCCTGGTTTGTTTTAACCAGGTTGTGCAACTTTTTCAAAGCAGCAGACAAAATTTGTTTGCCCTTTTAGTGTTCAAAAGTAAGTAAAATTAAAAGAAATTCATGAGACACAGTTCAAAGCCAATGATTGATCTATTTTGCTATTTTAATGGCAATTTGGTAGCAATTAAGGAGGGTCTCAAAAGTTACATTCAAGGTTTCTAGGTCTTTTATCTAGGTCTTGAAATCTTGTTAAACATGCTTTACAAACTGCAAATGCTGGGCTTGTACGTCATGCTAAACCAAAAAGAAACAAGCCACATGATGGCTTAGAATACCTACATGTTCAGTAGCTAGGTTCACACAGCCTGTTAAGCCCAAAACTGTCAGGAATTGATTCAGATTTTGGCAGTATATAAATATAATAAACCAAAAATAAACAAATCTGGGTTAACAATACACAATAGTTGTGTTCCCATAATGCGCTACCGTACAGGTAGTCCTCAACTTATGACCACAATTGGGACCAGAACTTCTGTCATTAATTGATGCAGTCGTTAAGTGAGTTGTGCATAATTTTATTACCTTTTTTGCTGCAGTTGTTAAGTGAATCACTGCAGTTGTTAAGCAAATCACCTGGTCATTAAGCAAATCCAGCCTTCCTCATTGACTTGCTTGTTGGAAGCCCCCTGGGAAGGTTGCAAATGACGATCACATGATCCCAGGATGCTGCAACTATCGTAAATACACGCTGGTTGCCCAGTGCCCAAATTTTGATCATGTGACTGTGGGGATGCTGAGACAGTTGTAAGTGCAAGGACCAGTCATAAGTCACTTTTTTCAGCACTGTGGTAACTTTGAACAGTTGTTAAATGAATGGTCATAAGTCAAGGACTACCTGTATGCCCAAGCAACAAAACCATATGTTGGCCTAAGAGTGGCCTAACACAACATGCTAAGGTAGTCGTGGATTCCCATAACTACCTAATCCCAAATTACCAATCCATTTTTTAGCCTAGGATAATGTGTTAGGGAACCTTGTCAATGTGGAATAGCAACCTCCTATTTTGCAACCAGCATCCTTAACTACAGTACTTTCTTTAGAAAGCTGCATAGAGGGGAGGGGATTGGGCAAAATCTGGGAGGGAAGGGGATTGATTTCATGGATTTAATTAAGCCCCCAAATTATTGGAATCTCATCCTGAGTGTTCAGACTTGCACAGAGTGCTCTTGCTGAAGGAGCTATGCTTTACTGTTTCCTTGTTTGCTTGAAGATTCCAGGGAGTAGCTATTATCAAGAGTATCTGAAGTGTATCCTGGCTAAAAGAACACCAAAGAAAAGGTGAGACCTAAATCTGACCCCCAAGAGCTAGGCAGTCCCAAAAGCATGTGCAGGGGCTGGTGAGGAGCAGCTTTGCATTTCTACCAGCCCCCTCTGAACTTTCTTTTTCAGCACCAGTCGAGCGAAGCCCAGCTGGCTTTCAAGCCTCCAATCTTACCTGCGTTCATTTGTATACACACCCCAGGAAGGTACTACATTAAAAATATATATTCTTTTTCAGTAGCTTCTTAGGAGATGTTGGAAGGGCTAAGGCTGGCTTATTTTTTTTACCGCCTCTCTGTTTTGGTGGTTGTTTTGGAAAGATCTCCAGAACAGACCCTCTGCATCTTCAAGACTCCCACCTGAAGCAAGGAATTGCTAAGAAGTTCTGTATCTCTTTGACTTTCTCTTTCTCTCATTATGTGCTTGCTTTTCAACACAATCCATGTATTGAACTAATTTGTCTTCTGGGTGTGCTGTGCTTCAACTCTCAGTAACCCCAGCCACACCCCCAACAGGCAAAATTTAGCTAGCCAATCTCTGAAAGACCATTGGCTGATGTTCTACCAATCAGGACATGCGTCTTGATATGTACCTATGGCTTTGTGATTGCAGGCTTCCAGATCCCACTGAAGCTGGCCCTCTCTCTAGCCATGGCTGTGATAGCTGTCTACCAGGTAACTGACATCAGAGTTTCCTCTGAACTGTCCACCTGTGGTAGGACCAGCCTCATCTGTGTTCTCCTGGTTTGCAGGTGGCTCTTCTTCTGCTTGCATCATTCATCCCCAACATCCAGATCATAAGATCTGGGATGACAAAAGAAATGACAGCCCTCTTTGTCCAGTTTGGCATAATCCCCTCCGAAAAACCTGCCAATATCCCCGGAGACAAAGAGGTGGCAACAGCTAAGCACTACATCTGGTCACTGGAAGGTATGTTTCTTCAACCCTGGACAACAGCGTCCATTTCAGCACTTGGCCAGATGCAGCTAGAATGAAGAAGTTTATGGTCCAGAATCAAGGGAACTGAAAATAGAGCAGAGTGATATGACATCTGCTTAGAAGGAATTCATCTATGCAAGCAGCAATGACAAATGCTTATTCATGATTGCCTCACCTCCCTCAGCAAACTATATTTTTTAAGGATGAACCCAACTTAGTGGGAAAACATATCTTTAGTAATTCTTCAAGGATCCCCCAAGATCCATTCTGAATGTGCAGTTCAACAGTTCCGTTTGACAAGTCAAGTCAGTTTGATTCAGAGTGTCAGTTTGGATCACTAAACTGAACAAATGTGACCTGGAGATCTGATTCAAACTTTTTAAAAAGTTGCACGCAAGCACAAAAGTCCACCGACTCTCCAAATCTCTTAGCAGGCACACAAACCCCTTGGGTTCATCAGATTGATTCTGTTGCAATTTGATTCAGCAGTCTGATTCTGCAATTCAATTCGAAGGGGTGGGTGACTCAGTAAAATTGCCTTCAAATCAAAGGTTTGAATTGCAGTTTCCTATATCCTTAATATTTAACATATGTTTCTTCATGAGAAAGGTGGGACTTTAAATATCCAAGCCTTAAACAGGGCTCTGGGCTGAGGGTGAACTGAACCTAGGAGCCAAGACACTCTTTACCAATCAGTGGAGAAAGTGGAATAATTTCACGGATGTTTCATGGTCTGTAAAACTTCCTGGAATGTTAAGATCTTAGACATGTGGGATGTTTAAAAAATGTGATCAGGAAACACTAAAAGTGGTGGCTGATTCTAAGAAACAAATAGGGCAGAAATGCAACTGAGAGCTCTGCTGATGTTTGTGCTCACCAAGACTTCTGAGATCCAGGGGCGTAGAACAGATGGTCTGGTAGCACAAGGAAGGAGGCATCAAAGCCAATTTCACACAGCTATCCTGCTGTCTCTGTTACCTCCAGCTAAGCTAAGCCCTTCCTTGTCATAATATTCTGGTTCTCCTTCTCAGCCCCTAGAATAGAGGGAGCATTCTTGCAAAGAGCAGGTGCCTCTTCTAAAGGACCACAGAAGGTGATATCTGTGTTCCCCTTTGGGCAGACTATCAATGCATTACAATATTTTTTTAAAAAAGGGGGGGTTATAAAGACAGCACAGCTGATACCATATAACAACAAACCTATATGTAAATTACAGTCAGGAGGCCAGCCCTACCGTTGGACAATGTAAAGCAGCTGCCACACTGGGCAGATGCTGGTGGGCAGAAAGATGTTGAAGAAGATAACTCTACAGGTTCTGAAACAAAAAAAATAGAAGCATGTATTTAGAGAAAGTATGTAGAACCTATAGCTGCTATGGATCAGATTTAGACAGACTAGCACCTCTTTTGCAGTGTTCTGTTGCTAGGCCTGACCCTGTCTGAGATTTGGGTGTATTTTGTTTGGATCTTGCCCTTTGGGAATCTTGCAGCCTTTGTATGGATCCTCGTCTGCCCATTCCTGTTTTGCAGTGTGCTTCATCTCTTCCCTGGTCTTCTCCTGCCTGTTGACCTTCTGCATGTTAATGAAGTCCCTGAGAAACCACAGGTGAGGGCTTTTCCCAATGTTCAGTGCCCTGAACCCTCTGGAGCAGCTGCTAAAAGATGACTCTTAAAACAAGGATTGGAGAACTGTTGTTCCTGTTCCTCCTCCTCCTCCTCCTCCTTCTGTTAAGGACCATTTTATCATATTTCACTTGATCACATGTTCTTCCTGT